TAACCTGGTATAGTTCAGACTAGGATAACCTGGTATAGTTCAGAGACTAGGATAACCTGGTATAGTTCAGAGACTAGGATAACCTGTGTGGTATGCGCCTAGCATGCTACACTTTATTCGACGTTCACACAACCATCAACATTCCCTCTCAACCAGTGAACTGGCAGTTCAGAGTATAGCAGTTATGGGGCCCCACTGCTGTATTAAATGTCCAGTTCAATCCATCAATCAGATGAGAGTTGGCTCCTCAGCCAAGTTGACGTCACACCTAGGGGGAGAGAGCACAACTTTGTAGTACCCACAGTCAGTGGCCAGGCGTCAAACACCTTTTATTGTACAGCAATAAAGGAATGGAACAGACTACCCGCACATGTCAAAGCCAGTCATAGCATGAACCAGTTCAAGAAGACTGCCAAAAAGTGTCTGATGAATGAAGCTACAGAAAGGGAGGGGAATGATTTTCTATTTTTTAGCTAAAATACGTGTAAATTTTACCTTATTCCTAGTAATGACCCTCGTATTGTAGATAGTCTTAATGACCTTGGTGTAGTAGATAGTCTTTTTAGTATGATAATAATATGTTATCTTCATTGTAGAATAATAAGAAAATATTATAACCTTTATATTATAATAATAAGGTAAAAGGACCCCAATGGAAATAAGTCACTCTGTCTGACTTTTTTGGGTTATCCTAGGTTCTCTACACATATGCTGCTATGTATGATAATTCTATGTAACTGTATTTGTGTATACCTGAATAAATTTACTTACTTACACCTGCCTGCCTGACTGAGTGGCAGACACTCGCTGATGCTGGTGCAGTTTACTCCTGCTTTGAGTGCCTCTTTGCTCTGACTTGCTGTTATACTGCTAGCTTAACGTTGTAAGTATTGTGCAAAGTGGTGAAGGAATTTACGAGTAAAGAAAACACCACCCCTTCTGTGTCCGTCTTGCCCTTCTTTTGCCAATTGCTAGCTATATTCGTGACGGCCAGGTACAACAGGTCTTGAATTGCTGCCTGTATTCGTAATAATCTAAAATAATGGTTCAGAGGTTAGGATAACCTTCAATAACATAGCTGAAGATAACTGGAGATGTTAACTATACAGAAACATTGTCAACTGGCCCATCTCAACAAACACAACATTGGTACCTGGTCCTACACCTCAACAAACGGTACAACGCTGTTTGTAAAACTCACCACTGATGCTTATACATCACTCTTAAACATTGTTTGGTGTCCCAGAATGTTGTTACTCTCCTCTTAAAGAATGGTTTCTTGCTTATCCTACACACGCCCAAGTACACCCATACACACCCACCCACATTTAAGTACATACAGATATAAAACCTATGTAAGGTGTTGAACCAGTACTGCTGCTGTCAAACAGGTATAACCATCTGAGTTCTGCTCAACAGGTTTTCCGGCCACCTTCCCATGGTATAAAGATAGTGACCAACCTTTAAAGATTACTTATTGCAGTGAAAGTTGTACGTCTCAGCATGGCTACACAAACATTGTTCTCAGCTGTCATCAGGCTGTATGTCTTAGCATGGCTACATAGTGTTCTCAGCTGTTATCAGCCGAGATTATTATTATTATAATCATGGGGAAGCGCTAAACCCGTAGAATTATACAGCGCATGGGGGGGGGGAATGGAAGATATTCAGGCTCAATTCAGGGAACTGGAGCACAGATCCAATTCCCTAGATCAAGAGCCCCTCACCAGCATCAGGGAACCTCGCTTGAGGGGTCAGCCGAGAACAGTATCTGCCGACATGTCCACTTCCAAATATCTTTTCTCCATTCTCCCCCCCTCCAATCTGATATCCAATCTTCCATTACCTAAATTTTTCGTTACTCTCTTGTTAATCATTGTCCTGGTTAATTCATTCTGTTGTACTTTGTCTAATATTTTGTGGTTTATCGTCTGAGACGTATAGCCAAGGCGAAGCATTCGACACGTGCACCACCTGAGTGTCTTCATCCGAAGAAATTTCGCCAGCCAGTGGCTTCAGTTCAAAACAGAGATAATGTGAGAAGACAGAAGAAAAGTTAGTGTTTTAATCTTATAGAGGGACTGATTTCCTTGCCTCCTACTGTCTTTCTGTATTGAACTGATAAGGCTACTGGTTGGCGAAGCGTCTTCAAATAAAGATATCCATGGGTCTAATTCCTCATGTTGTCGGTACTATATACCATTACTGTCATGACACACTTGCAGGCAAGTCTTCTTACACCTACTGTTACTGGTTACGTAGGATAGCATCATAAGGGGAGTGTGTTATGTCCTAAATAGGAATGACCTGAAATGAGCTAAGATAGGATAACAGCTCAAAGGCTGTAAATTCAACGACAGGAAATGTGGCGACGCACAGCTGATGTAAACACGTCTCATGAACACATATCCTGTACTGTCTCCACTGTTGAATCGCATATCTTCACCTACTTAACACTGTTACTTACGTATGAAGTAAACTTTTTAGGGAATCCCATGAGTGCTATCCTTCCAATGAAATTAGCTTTGTATACAGACGAACAAAATTTAAGGTTTGGTTAATATAGCTTAGGTTAATTTAATATGTATATTACTAATGGCTCTCGTACGGATTAATATATCGCTTGTTTAGCAACAGAGTAAATTAAGATAAATCTTCTGACAATGGAGGCAAGGTCGGGCGCCAGCGACTAGTTATCTTAAAGTAATAAATCTTTATTTGTAAATGTACAAGGTATACAGTCCCAGCTGACATCAATGACATACTACTATATAGATAGCTGCTTGTTATGCTGAGCATTTCGGGCAAATTAGGCCAATTTTGTCCCAGGATGCGACCCACACCAGTCGACTAACACCCTGGTACCCATTTTATACTGATGGGTGAACAAGGACAGCAGGTGTGTTATGGAAATACGTCATAATGTTATCCAGCCGTACCGGGGATTCGAACTCCGGACCTCAGTGTGTGAGCTAAGCGCGCTAGTGATCGAGCTAGCTAAACAATAATAATGATATCTTTCACTGTTATCAAGGTTCATGTTGATTCATAAAGTATAAATAACCTGCACACCATCAATCAAGACTAATACTCGACAATCTATATACCCTGAATGGGTTGTTTGGTTTAGTGTCAGCTACGCGAGGGTCGTTAAGGTCGCATATCACTATTACAACACTGCCTTAATCCAACAATCAGATTAAGAATAACTGTATATACACTGAAGCATACACACCTGTCTGTTTATATACAGTGAGAGATGTATTTATATATATAAAATATATATATAATATATATATATATATTATATATATATTTTATATATATATAATATATATATATATATAGTCGTGCCGATATGTAAAACTGGTCAATTAGCAAGAACTCATTTAAAATTAAGTCCTTTCTGAAAATTTCTCTTATACGTTTAAAGATATATTTTTTTCATTAATGTTAATGTAAAAATTTATAATTTTGCACCAAAAGAATCTTAGAAAACTTACCTAACCTTATGTAACAAGAACAAATTATTTTAGCCTAACCCAACTAAATATGTTTTAGATTTGTTTACAGTAATTTAATACTAAACAAACACAGTGAAATGTATTTTTTTCGTTAGGTTCAGAATGATTTTGGCGAAATTATTGCATACACAAATTTTAGCTAGTCCTATATGGCAAGATGAGCGTTGCTATTTAAGCCAGATCGCAAGTTCTGCCTATTCGACACGACATTATATATATATATATATATATATATATATATATATATATATATAATATATATATATATATATATATATATATATATATATATGTCGTGCCGAATAGGCAGAATTTGCGATCTTGGCTTAAATAGCAACGCTAATATTGCCATATAGGACAAGTGAAAATTTGTGTATGCAATAATTTCGCCAAAATCATTCTGAACCTAACGAAAAATATATATTTGATTTTGTTTGTTTAGTACTAAATTATTGTAAACGTATTTAAAATATATTTAGTGGGGTTAGCCTAAAATAAATTGCTCTTGTTATAATAAGGTTAGGTAAGTTTTCTAGGATTCTTTTGGTGCAAATTTAAAATTTTTTACATTAGCATTAATGGAAAAATTATATCTTGAAACGTATAAGAGAAAATTTCAGAAAAGACTTAATTTTAAATGAGTTCTTGCTAATTGACCAGTTTTACATATTCGGCACGACATATATATATATATATATATATATATATATATAATATATATATATATATATATATATATATATATATATATATAATAACATTTTTTCAGCCCACAGCAGGAATCGAACCTGCACACACTGCATCAAAGTACGCGGTACCTTAGCCATATATAATATGTAATTTTTTAAACAGACCAACCCGTCTCCCACCAAGGTAAGGCGACCTGAAAAAGAAAAGAAACATTTTCACCATCATTTATTCACTCAGTCTTCCCAGAAATGCGCTGACATCACAATTTAAATGCCCCTATGACTTATACACTCCTTCAGGGTGCAGACACCCTGAAGAAGTGTATGTCACGCTGACTTTATTGTGTTACCTTACGTTACACCTACATAATATACCTTCGATATGTCCATACCATAAGTGACCTTAAGACCACTATAAAAAAAATATGTATGTTAATTGTGTTCAAAGAGGATCAAGTGCACTCGGGTCATGAAGACTACATGTAACATTGTCACCACCAGTCAAGAATACTTTAATCCCAAAAATAGGGATTAAAACAGTCTGGTCGGTGTATATATCCTGTCAGTGTATACACTGTTTGATCCAACAGTGATACCAACGCCTGAGGTTCACTGTCTTCAAGGCATCTAAAAAAAAATATGCAAATGATTCCAAATCACATATATTTGTGGCCAGGTTATATCAAGAAACACGCGATACTGACTCCATCATTTTCTTGTTACTGGGAAGAAAAGTTATGAGTGTGTAGAGTTAAGTATTAATGGAGAGGAGGAGAGATGGAAGGGTTCAGTGTGGCCTGAGCCACGGTGCGGGGTGGTCACTAGTGTAGTGCTCCTGTCTTGTGTGTATGTGTGGATGCTGCACCACTCTCCTCCACCACATGCCCCCCAACCACCGCTCCTACAATCTCCCCTGCCCCATTAACCTCACAATCCCCCACTTCTTTTATTAACCTGACAATATCACATCTCCATTAACCTCACAATCCTACACTTTCATTAAGTTTACAATCCTACACTATTTCATTAAGCTCACAATCCCACACACATTTCAATAACTTCACAATCCTACACTTTCATTAACTTTACAATCCTACATTCCTTCATTAACCTCACAATCCTGCATTAACAATCTCACCCCCCCCGTCTCCAACACCCCTCACCTCCGCTAACATTTCTATCTCCCCCGTCTACCAAAATCCCTCTTCCAAACCCCCTACCACTCCCACCAACCCCCACCCCTCCACCAGAGAGGAGGTGGGGGATACCATTCAGCAGTTGCTGGAATACACCATACCTTGCTAGCAGCAGTCACACAGGTGAGTATACATAAATACACACGAGTCTGTATATTAGGTCACCCACATACACTACAATGTTAGGAATACTTCAGGGTATGTAGGAGAAGATACTCGTAGTTCTGGATATTTATCAAGAGGAGATTTTTCGTCAGTCCTGATGTAGGATTGAATTCACTTGTGCCGAAACGTTTCCTTTAATGTCCTGAGCTGTACATAAGTGTCCTTTTTCACATTTTGTTGGTATCGCCAAACCGTTTTTCACCAGGGTATCCCACACAGGTGAGGTATCCATTGAGATATTTCAAATATTTCAGTAGATACCTCCCCTGTGAGAGATACCTTGTATACTCACTGTATTCCATACAGTGAATATAGAAACAGCATTTGTCCCTACTTTTATCTCATGATATTCCTATAATTCTCACCTTGATACTCATGTGTTGCAAATAAATGACCGGCACAGCCACGTTGTGATGCAAATCAAGGCCTCTCACCCTAATGACAACCCTTCGTCAGGAGCTTGCAATAGGAGGAAAGGGGGATAAATGAGGTGCATCATATTCTGTACGGCATTTAATTATATAAATGAAGAAGCATCATGTTATAATGATAACAAGATCAGTTATGTGAGGTTCTCCTAGGTTTGGTTCTGCTAGGTTTGGTTCTGCTAGGTTTGGTTCTGCTAGGTTCGGTTCTGCTAGGTTTGGTTCCGCTAGGTTAGGTTCTGCTAGGTTAGGTTCTGCTAAGTTAGGTTCTGCTAGGTTAGGTTCCGCTAGGTTAGGTTCTGCTAGGTTAGGTTCTGCTAGGTTAGGTTCCTAGGTTTGGTTCTGCTAGGTTAGGTTCCGCTAGGTTAGGTTGCAAGGTTTGGTTCTGCTAGGTTATCATGATTTATTTAAGGTGACGTTCCATTTTTCCCCACGTGAACAGCTTAAGTTTTATCTCCATGGAATAATCTGCTTAATATTGGACATTTTACAATAAGTTAAAGTCCGCCGCGGAGGAACGTTCAATAATTACTAAATAAATAATAATCTGTGCCAACGTGTGTTTGTAAGTTATCATTGTGTAATATTGTGAGAGAGATATTACACTATAGTGGCCCAGATAGTTTAGTATTATCGTAGTTACGACACTAAGATTCAAACTCTGCAATTCAAATCACTGTATATTCCAGATATGTATATAATAATAAATACGCCCACGGAATGCACAGCATTTCCTCACCATTTAAACAAGACATTTTTACGTAACAGTGAAATATCTGCAGGAAATCTGGAGTTTTCTGGGACATGTACACAGCAGTTACTGCCGGCCTGTTATCCACAACACTAGGCTAACACAGGTACTTACTACGTGGGCAGGAGCATTAGCAGGGGTTGATGCTCCTGCCCACGTAGGGGCAGGAGCTGTGTGTACTTGCCTAATTGTGGTTGCAGGGGGTCGATTCAGATACACGTTCCAGGTGTGACAAGGTGATCGGTGCACCAAGGCCATTCGATAAAACTTAGCACAAAAATTATCAATCGCCAACTGTGCAGTGGTTTATAGAATAAGTTACAATACCGTAGCTACAACAATTCACAACTAATGCACGTACTGACGATCTCTGGACGACGTTTCGGTTCAGTCTTCGAACATTATCAAGTGATTGTTTGATAATGGTCCTGACAGACCGAAACGTCTGAGGATGTACCGTCAGTTAGTAGGTTACTGGACTCAGTGGCTGTGCAGTACCAGCACATCTGGATTTAACTGCCATAACTGTGAGATAATACATATACACTTAATGTTTACACGGAGACATGTGCACATACGTGTATGCTACGTATAGTCTACACTGCCTCAGTGCTCTCCTACAAGGATCAGCCATGTCCGGTGTGTGACACACACAGACGGGCTGGCGGAGTGGCCGACAGACTGGCAGACAGGTAGACAGACTGGCATCTCAGATCACTCATGTCTCGTCAGTCATCAGTCGACAGTTAGAGAGTGTTGCCAGTAACCACAGTGAACCTTAGTGTTGCCAGAAAGTAACCACACATCACGCTCAAGGTATACATAACTCTTCCTACTGTTAGAGCTATAACTACCTACTCTTAGAGGTGTCACTACCTACTCTTAAAGCTATATCCACTCCTAGAGCTATAACTACCTACTCCTAGGGCTATAACTACTTCTTAGAGCTACAGCTCTACCTACTCTTCAAACTGCGTACGGTGTTCGTGCAGGCGTGCGGGCATGCTGGCACGTGTACACGCACTTTTTAAGCAGGGTCTTCAGTCCTAGCTTATAAAACAATGATTCTTTAAGCGAACAAGCAATGTACGTTGTTCTTTGTAGCAACTCCGTGAACAATAGTCTGAACACAAGGCTGATCGTCAATCTGATCGTCAGTCTGAACGTCAGTCTGACTGAACGTCAGTCTTTCTTTTTTATTATAATAATAATGAACGTCAGTCTGAACGTCAGTCTAAACACAGTCTGAACCTTATAAAACTAAGACATCTTAATGTTCTTAACACTACAAGAATTTAGACTGACCTTAATTAGTGAAAGTAGAATTTAAATACACAATATTTTGTAATGGTGCGGACACCGTACACAGTTGTATTAAAAAGTAATAAATGTAACATTACATAAAACACTGGACATGTCATCCATATATTTGAGTTATTATAAAATTAATGGCAGGAACTTCAAACTTCTTCACTGTTACAGTGGCGTTAATTCGCTTGTGATATTTATACTTGCATCTTATTTATGATATTTATCAACCTTAAAATACATCACTCTGTGTGTGTGTGTGTGTGTACTCGCCTATTTGTACTCACCTATTTGTGGTTGCAGGGGTCGAGTCACAGCTCCTGGCCCCGCCTCTTCGCTGATTGCTACTAGGTCCTCTCTCTCCCTGCCCCATGAGCTCTATCATACCTCGCCTTAAAACTATGTATGGTTCCTGCCTCCACCACATCACTTTCTAGGCTATTCCATGGCCTGACTACTCTATGACTGAAGAAATACTTCCTAACATCCCTTTGATTCATCTGAGTCTTCAACTTCCAATTGTGACCTCTTGTGTCTGTGTCCCATCTCTGGAACATCCCGTCTTTGTCCACCTCGTCTATTCCGCGCAGTATTTTATATGTCGTTATCATGTCTCCCCTGACCCTCCTGGCCTCCAGTGTCGTCAGGCCGATTTCCCTCAACCTTTCTTCATAGGACAATCCCCGTAGCTCTGGGACTAGTCTTGTTGCAAACCTTTGCACTTTCTCTAATTTCTTGACGTGCTTGACTAGGTGTGGATTCCAAACTGGTGCTGTGTGTGTGTGTGTGTGTGTGTGTGTGCTTTATCTCTTTTCCAAATGTTTGTCATATAGTGTACAAGTTAGCAATGTAGCGCGCGCACACACAAACTCTTATACTGTCTCACATCAACCTCTGTTGACAGAATTTATTCGACATCGTCTGGCTGGACTTATGTGAGTAGTGCAACTAAAACAGATATATTATTATTATTATTGCTGTATAGCCCTTGTGGTTTAGCGCTTCTTTTTGATTATAATAATATAATTATTATTAGTAGTATAGTAGTGGTGGTAGTAATGGTAGCAGCAGCAGCAGCAACAGCATCAACAATGGTATAAAATACGTCAGAGACTCAACAAATGCGTTACTCATTCAGTCAGTGCCTCACGCATTCAATGTATGCATCACACACTCACAGTATGCAACACAGAAACTCAACGAATGGGTCTCTCAACAAAAAGGTCACTCAATAAATGCTTCATCCATTCAACATATGCGTTATACACTCAACTTCATCACAGACAGACCCAATTCAACTTTTCAAGGGAGAGAGAGAGAGAGAGAGAGAGAGAATGAGAAAGCAAAAAACAGCACACAAGAAAAAGGCGTTTCCAACCACTCACCTTGAGATATTCAATTGTCATTTTTCTACATGTATATTTTTCTTGAAGTAAGATTGAGTGTTATGGGCTGCCAACATGGTCTTAGAGGATGATAGTCTTTATTGACTGTGGTGTTATATGCGTTCCTTGGCCAGATGTACGGTAGCTGTGTTAGTGTTGACAGGCGTTACATCTTGTTAACTTGCACGTGACTTTTGCTGACTGATGGCCGTGTTATTGTTGACAGGTGTTACACCGTGTTAACTTAAACGTTATAATACATTGTTACTTGTTACCCAAGCTACGGTAGACATGTTACACTGTGTTAACATACGCACGACTGCTACGCTATTTTAGAAATATATTACACGTTAAAAACTATATGTTGTAGCGGGCGCCACGTGGAGCAGCACATTAACAGAGCTGGCGACTGTGTTTTAAGTGCTGACAATAAATCTAGCAGACTTCTTGGCTTTATACCAATAAGTATACATCCCAAGTTATTCAACTTTGTATATACTTAGTAAAGCCTCATTTAAATGTTATGGAGGTCTGGTCCCCCTCTAGATCTGGCTGTGTTACAGCCTACACTAAAGAACAGGAATAGCCAGGCAGACTAGACGACGATGTACTGGAAAACATACTGACGCTTAAAAAGTTTACCGTGGGCAACGGTAAACAATATGATGTTCAATGAGGACAAATTCCAACTACTCCGTTATGGAAAACTGGAGGAGATAATAACTAGAACAGAGTATACTACTGACTCCGGCCATACAATAGAGCGGAAAAATAATGTAAGGGACCTGGGAGTAGTAATGTCTGAGGATCTCACTTTCAAGGATCACAACAGTGCCACGATCGCACGTGCAAAGAAAATGATAGCATGGATAATGAGAACTTTCAAAACGAGAGATGCCAAGCCCATGATGATCCTTTTCAAATCACTTGTTCTCTCTAGGCTGGAATACTGCTGTACATTAACATCTCCATACAAAGCAGGTGAAATCGCAGATCTAGAGAGTGTACAGAGATCCTTTACTGCACGTATAAGTTCTGTCAAGCACCTTAACTACTGGAACGCTTGGAAGCACTTGACTTGTACTCGTT